TATATTATTTGATCCAAGGCAGTTCTCTCTTTCTGCTTCACTAAAATAAGCTGTTACTTCATCTGCAACCTGTTACATATCCAGTGCAGCTACAAGTTAAACATACATACGGTTCAATTTGTAAAAAAAAAAAAGTCAAGCTTCCGATTCCGTGGCTGTGTGCAACGGAGCTCCAAAGCAGACCAGCGTTTGTGTACCGACTTGTTTCGTTGCTCGAGTGTCTAAAATGGTCTGTTCCTCTCTAATGGAGTTCAAAGGGCTGACGTCACTGCATTTCCTGGAATCGTGGTTCCTCAGGAAAGTGGAAAAGTTAACTCCAAGCGGACTGCGCATTTACGTCAGCCCCGAGCCAGGTTGTGATTGAGTCAGTTCCTTTCGGCTCCATCGAGCTGAGCAGAGCGCTGTTACGGTTTGAGGCTGTTAACTAGCTCCTGGCTTGCCTGTCTCTGAGGTCGCTCTTGGACTGAGTAGCTTGATTTGTAAGCCTCACTTTAGTGTTTCTCTGCAGGTAAGTATTTACTTTAGAAAGCTGGCACCGCCCGTGTGTGGGCAGATCCCCCAGAGCCCTGCACCACTCCCGTGGCCACAGGTGCTGGAAGAGCTGGGCTCCGGGCCCGGGCACCCTCACCCCACCTCTCTGCGGGATTTACTACTCACGGCGCCCTCTAGTGCACAGGCAGGGAAGCGCATGTTTGAAATCGCCCTCAGACCACATTCTTTAAACCTGTTATTTGTAATGCTTTCTGTGGTTTGGTTTTCTTAGTCATAGGTAATGCTTCTGATTTAGTCGCTAATGTCCTTTATGTTGTTGCAACTTTGTTTATTGAGTGGTGTTTTATTTCTTACCCAGTACTGAATTGCATTTGAATTCATGAAGAATGGATAATTGTAAACAGCTTGCTCACAAGTGAGTCTCAGCTCCTCTTCCTAGATAGAAACATTCCGTTGTCTTGAGCAAGTAATACCGGTATTAAATTAAATTGTTTTTAAAATTATCTTGAGCTATTGTTTTTCTCAAATAAGTTTTTTAAAGTTTTAGTGATGTTATAGATTGCAGAAGTTCTCAAATGGCAAATGTATTATAAGATACAGATGGACTTAAACTCAAATACTGCATGTCATATGATTTTAGAACCAAATGCATTTTGTGCATATATTCATTTTCTAAAAGTGATTAGTTTGTTTATATCTTTCTTAACTAAGCCTTTCAATTTACCATTTGACTTCTCTAAGCATGATAGAAAATCAAACAAAAAATAAAATTATTTGGCTGAAACTGGTTTGGCTCAGTGGTAGAGCGTCTGTCTGCAGACTGAAAGGTCCCAGGTTCGATTCCGGTGAAGGGCATGTATATTGGTTGCGGGCACATCCCCAGTAGGGGGTGTGCAGGAGGCAGCTGATGGATGTTTCTCTCTCATCGACGTCTCTAGCTCTCTATCTCTCTCCCTTCCTCTCTGTAAAAAATCAATAAAATATATTTTAAAAATTATTTGAAAATACTCAGAATATACTTAAAGATGAATCTTTAAGGTAAAAATTTGCACAGTTTTTAAACTATTGCTTGTAAATAAATGAACATCACCCATAATGCTTATTCATGGTTTACCCTTTCAATTCAAAGTTTTCTAAATGCTGAAACTTTAAAATGTCAAACTTTTTTTACTAGACCTCATTGTGCCTTTGAAAATTGTTGTTTTTGGAAATCTGGTCAGTTTTGACAGAATCAATTCTATTTGAAATGCTGTTTGAAAGTGGAAAGGACATTGCCTCTTGTTTTGTTTGTTTGTATTTTGAGGTGGATTGATAGATTATTGGCTTGCAAACTTTTTTTTATCGTGACCCATATTTATATCATGATGTGGTAGATGTGTGTGTGTGTGTGTGTGTGTGTACCCTACTTTTGTATAAAATTCATTTAAAAATAATGTTTATCCTTAATATATGTAATGTATTCATACTTTTCTACTTCCTTTTAAAAAATGCTATTCTTGACCCAAGAAATTATTTTTATAACTTACCAATGGTCTACATCCTACAGTTTAAAAAAACAATCTAGACCAAAATCAGGCTGCTAACAATGACTGGCCTGTGAAAGTTTTTTATGAGCATTTACTTAGAGGATCATTGAATTGAATGTGAAAAGGGAATATTTATAGTTTACAGAATTATATCATTCTGTTGGATATAATTTACATTTTTATTAGAAATAGTTTTGGCTTTATTTATAAGCTGATGTTAAGAGCCTAACTCTTTATCTTTTAGTCTCTGAGTCTAAAAAATTCAGAAGTAGTATTCAGCATGGACATCTAATTATTAAAAACATACATTCCAATTAATTCAAATTTGAAAAATAGTATCTTAGTTAATATTTGATGCATGAGAATAGGAATACAGGGATATACATTTCACCTATGTGAGAGGAAAAAGTTTTTGTTTGGATATTTTCATATAAAATAATGATTTGTAACAGTTGTAATAGCTTCTTGAAGTTGGTAGTAAGGCAAGTTATAATCATGTTGGAAGTGGAAATATGAGTCATCATAAGTTTCAATAGTATTCCAAATCTGTATGAAATTGCCATTATGCTATTTTCCCACTATTTTTGAAAAAATGTTTAATGAAAGATAATTTGGGACTGTTGTTTTACTTTTCCCAGTTTTATTAGCCTATATAAACATATTGTCTAATAAAATAATACTTTGCATTTATGTAAACTTTAAAATAAAAAATCATTTAATGTTACAAATAAAAATAAATATAAATGTGGTAAGAGCTATCAAAGAAACTATCAGATCATGAAAGACCCACAAGTAATATAGGTTGAAGGATCAGAGTAAGCCTCATTGAGGAAACCATCCTATATAAGAAAAGCATAACATACAAATCGGTTGAGTGGTGTAATGACTGGTCACTATAATGCCCACTGACCACGAGGGGGGCCGATGCTCAACGCAGGAGCAGCCCTCTGGTGGTTAGTGAGCTCCCACAGGGGCAGCACCACTCAGCCAGAAGCCGGGCCCATGGCTGGCGAGCACAGCAGCAGCTCCCGCCTCCAATACAAGTGGGCAGTTAGGAGCGAGGGCCCCGGACTGAAAGAGCCCTGGACTGCAAGAGAGATATCTGACTGCCAGCTTAGGCCCCATACTCCAGAGGATTGTGCCAAGCTGGCAGGCGGACATCCCCCAGGGGTCCCGGACTGCGAGAGGGTGCAGGCTAAACTGAGGGACCCCTCCTCCCCCAGTGCACAAATCTCGTGCACCGGGCCTTTAGTATTTAAATAACCCATAAGGAAAATCAGTTTCCATGCAGTCTCCCTGATATACAGATATTACATTCATTTTGCATATAATAACACAGATCAGAGTGGATAAATGACTCTCCCAAGTTAACACAGCTAATAAGTGGTAAACCAGTTTGGCTCTTCAGACTACAGTAGGTTTTCGGGTTACATCTGAGATCTGTTTCTATGGAGTGACATAACGTGATTTTCGCCATAAGTTGCAACCCACCTACATTAGCACCTACATCACTCATAAAGAGCATATACACAGCCGTAATGAAGTGACACAGTAAAAAAAAAAAATTAAAGATAACAATCCCTGACCTTTATTTGTGGTAAATAAATAATAAAATATATAAAGCACATAAGTTGAAATATATAAAGCACATAAGTTGAAAAAAAAAAACATTTTTTTTTTTTAATTTATAAATGAAGATGACAACATACGTATGTCAAGTCCCACGTAAATCGAGGACTGCCTGTATCTGGTTCTAGTCACACCATTTTATATTGCTCCTCAAAGTTCACCTGACATTGATAAACTAACACTGTTTATAAAACATGAAAAAGGAAGTTAACATCATTATGACTACTTAAAATGGATTTTTAAATAGAGTATTATTACTCTCCTAGGACAATATGTTTATTATATAGAACTTTAAATGTCGATATTTATAATTTTTTACAAATTTTTTTTCATTCTTAAGATTTTCACTTAATCCACAACTCATGTGTAACTTAAAGTAAAAATTAACAACTTAATTTTATGTGGTTTGTGTTTGTAACAAATTTGAAATCTTCAGTGCTTAAACAGTCTTACTCAGGTAGGATTTAATTTTACTGGAAAAAGTGGAGCAATGGAGGAGGGAAACTTTTTGACAATGTTAGACGCCAGGTAATGACAATCTTGATCTGGGCGTTAGGAGACCTGGAGTGGCGTAGGGAGGGAGAGAACAGAGAAAAGTGAGGAGCTCTCTGCTTCTGAGTGTGACCGTTACCTCTGTTTGCCCCTCTCGTGTGCTTGGGATTAGTGACACATAGCGAAATGATTTATGAATGTAGGAGCTCCAAAAATAAAAATTGTTTTTTTCAGTTAATGTGTTCAGTACAATAGAGATCTCAATCGACAAATAATAAGCAATAAAATCACCATTAGGGTGTTGATAAACTCTTTTACTTTGGAAACTATCAAGATGATCATTTGGCTAGGTTTCTTATTTTTTTCTTTGTTAGGAAGAAACAAACACTTCTTTGATTTGTGGGGTTTACCACTCTGATGAGATTAAATCATTTTATTTTTTTGTGATTCCTCATCATCTATTTTAAGTTATTACATACATTTAAAGGGGTATTATGTGATGTTATCTGTTAATAATTTATTCTCTAAAGGGATATAATAAAAATTATAAACGTTTTTAATAGGCATATTTATAAACAAAATAAGGAATAAGAGCCACACATGTCAATCATTCTATTCCTAGATTTGTTAGAAGGGAAACTCAAGGGGAAAATATATTTATGGATGTTATTTGCCTTTTAATTAATATGCAGTATAAGCATAATTTGGAACATTGTCTTTCAGAACTTAAGGAAGGGAAGAGGAAGGGAACTAACATTTGCTGAATGCCTACCATGTGCCAGGCACTGTGCTAGACATTTTGACATACATTACAGGGTTTATTGTGAGTATTAAATGAGATAATGTATCCCCATTTTACAGATGAGGAAACTGAACTTGCCCCAAGTCACATGGCTGGTAAGTGGCAGAGCTGCACTAGAACCCAGATTCCAACCCCCTCACTTCTCCTCCTGTACCGTGTGTAAAGCTTGCGCAGAGAGGTATGAATTGAGAGTTCCAGGAATTTTCTTTCCCGTTGAAATATTTGATACCAAACCTAAAACATTGTTTTCATGTCAGGAGTTAAATGATTGGAAACACTACAAGTAGGACTACTCTGCTTCTAACATTCCAGGTTAGATTATTAGTATCTAGGGGAAGATTTAGGAAATAATGCATTTTATCAAGAAAGGCCTGTTTGAATAAGTCTTTTAGGGGTTCCCATGTATTAGGGTTAAAGACTTAATTATAATAATAGTCTTATATTAATAAGGCTTCTTATTTGAAACATTCCAAATGACAGTGGTCTTGTGCAAAACCCTGGAAAGTTCAAAATTCATAGTGCATGAGTAAACTCACCAATCAGCCATATATGCCAAGTGCTGTGCTGGATTGTAGGGATGCCAAGGTAAAAAGGTATCTTGTCTCAAGTTTTTTGCTGCCTTAGAATAGAATTAGTGTATCTTTTTTATTATCTTTCTTCAATCATGAGTTTATACTCATTGATGACCCATTTATTTTCATAAATAATTTATACAATGAAATTTTAGAATAAAAAATAATTTGGGCCCTTTTAGTAGTTAGGTGGAACAGGAATTGGCTTTTCATTAAAGAATGTAGTTCTTTGAACTGTTATGTTAGGTATCTCATCTGTTTTAAATTATCACTAAACTTGTAATATTGGAAATAGAAGCTAACTTTTATATAAAAACTTTTCTATAACTTGTTTTAATAACAAAACTTTTTGACATTTGGATTTCCTTAAAACAAGAGCTTCTCTTTGCCCATATCTTTTTACTGTATTCACTAATAGATCATATTTGAATATATGGAATTTATCAATTGATATTTATTCACTATTAGACATGTATCATGACCAGAAATTTATACTAATTTCTGGTAATTTATACTAATTCATATTTCTGCTTGAACCAATAAGATAAAATCAGATCTTTGTTGAAGAAGAAATGCCTGAAAAATTGTGTTAAAAACCAGTTTGTTAGCTGACATTTGAGAATACATTTAAATATATCATTCTTTTGAGGCAGGATAGTAAGAAGCTAGGAAAATTCCTTGGCTGATGGAAGGGGAAAACTGAGGTAGATAGCTAAACAAAGCAGAGCAATTGACAGCAGATACGGAAGGTCACCCCCCCTAGAGATAATATGAAGGCCTCGGGTTTATCCCAGCTCTAGACTCAGAAAAGCAGCAAAACCAAGTGGAGGACGCCAGGACCAGCTGCAGTGGCTAATGACCCCCTACCCTGGCACTGACCCACCAGCAGACATTACAATAACAAATGAGCACACCTAGAAAACTGATGAATATTCTGCTGAAACCTCCCCTGAGGTCTCCATTAAGATTCCCTCTGCAAGAAAGAGATAAAACCCTACAAAGAACCCAGCACATATACACATGGCTTTCCCTTCCTCCTCTTCTCCCACGGGTATGCATCACCTAAACTCCAGCAGTTCCCACAAAACTTGCAACTAGAGGAGCAATGGGCGGTGGCAGCTCAGCGGGGCTGACCCCCTGAACTTGTCCCTAAGGCCCCTTTTTTTTCTGACTTCCTAGTGAGTTAAAGCAGCCCTGCCTAGCTCTTTCCTGTTACTTCTGTGCCAGGCTCTTCCTTGTTTCACTGTTCCCAGCTTTTACAAATGTCCTCTCAGTCACATGGACGCAAATTGTGACATCTTTCCTGCATGAAGTCAAGAACCGACACACTACCTGCTGGCCCTAAGCAGACCCGTTCAGGGCCACGTCCCCTTTCGGATAACACTTTCCAATTTAGCATTTTAGGTATTTTTTTTCTAAGCTGTTGCTCACCATGTTTTAAGAATGCTTCTTTTTAAAAAAATTATTTTATTGATTTTTTTACAGAAAGGAAGGGGAGGGATAGAGATCTAGAAACATTGATGTGAGAGAAACATAGACCAGCTGCCTCCTACATACCCCCTACCAGGGATGTGTCCGCAACCAATGTACATGCCCTTGACCGGAATCAAACCTGGGACCTTTCAGTCCGCAGGCCGACACTCTATCCACTGAGCCAAACCAGTTTCGGCAAGAATGCTTCTTTTGAGTGACCCTTATTCTTCTTGGTGCCAGATTTGGTCTTTTGAAGGTGGCTTCAGCTTTTGGAAATAGGCAAAAATTTAAACCATTTCTGATTCTAAGATCAACAAATGAACTTTATTTTTTTCTGTGAAATATTCCTGCCTTCCCTTTTCATTAAAAAAAAAAAAAGATAATCTGGCACTACTTTGTATATTGTATAAACATCCTGCTTTAAGTACAGAAAAAAGCATATGTGTACAAAACTAGAGAGAATAATGAACCCTTCTGTAGCTTTGTATTAATTTTATTGCTCTTATTTGGGAGCAATTTGGCAAGAACAGCCCTAGACCAAGGTCTACATCCCTGCTGCTTAAAATGTCAACATGATGACATGTGAACTTCTCCATCGTCACTGCTATTGTTCCAATTTTAGAAAGCCTTTGTAGGCTCCAGCTGTTCCATTGTTTTAGTCTTTATTATCCCATAACCTTCTTTCCAGATGTTGGTAAAGAGAACAGAGAAGATAACTATTATTCTATGATTCAATCTTCTCTACAATCTGATTTAAATATATATATTTTAAATCGTAAGTAGTTTATAATTGACTTGAAAATTCTCTTCAAATACTTCAAAGTTATAAAATTTCTAACATATAATGAGACATCTGTGTATATACTATTTTGAATTGTCACAAAAACAAATTTAGGATTTTTCCAAGTTGGTGATCATTATTTATCATAATTTCTACTTATTATTTCTTAAATTATATATAGAAAAAGCAGTACAACATTGTAAGTGATATTTTAATTAGCCTTATAAAGACCTCTGATCTTCACCCAAAGCCATATTTTAAAAAATATATATATATATTTTATTGATTTTTTTACAGAGAGGAAGGGAGAGAGATACAGAGTTAGAAACATCGATGAGAGAGAGTCATCGATCAGCTGCCTCTTGCACACCCCCTACTGGGGATATGCCCGCAACCAAGGTACATGCCCTTGACCGGAATCGAATCTGGGACCCTTCAGTCCCCAAGCCGATGCTCTATCCATTGAACCAAACCGGTCCCGGCCCAAAGCCATATTTTTATTGTTTTATTCTTTCCTTTAATTCTTAAGCCCATTGGTGGGGGGTGTAAAAACCCGGTATTTACCCCAAAAAGAAACACATAGATCAATTTTGATTAACCTTTTAACCTAATTGGCTAGTTTTAGTTATACTATTCTACTTAACTGAAAAAAAAACATTTGTCTCCCTTTTGAGTAAAATTTCAGTTCTCAGTCAATGGATATAACACATTTTAATGAGATATAGAAGCAATGTGTTTCATATTTTGATTAGTATTCGGTTCAGACCAAGTTTTATAGGATTTAATAACTTTAAAAATCACTTTCTTGCATTGATTTCTGAGGGGGGCATATATTTTGTCATATTTCATCAGAATGTCACATGAACTTTGGATTGCATGTTCTCAGAGCTGAAACAGTGATGGTAGGAATGTTTCATCACTTCAACCCATCTTTCTGTCTTAGAAAAGTTTCTTACTGCAGTAGACACACATTTTGATTATAAATTAAGATACTTTGAGGACTTCAGTATTCAATCTGAATACTAAATAAATACTAAGTGTAATTTAACTATGATTATACTGTCATTGGAAAACATGCTTTTAACATTATCTCAATAAACCTAAGACAGACAAAAATTATCATTCCCCAGAGAAACCAGTTTTAACTAGAGCTTTGCTGTTTTGTTTTTTATTTGCTTTTAAATGAAAACACAGTGAGTTAGTATTTTCCTCCCAGTACTTACATCATATTCTGGTGTTAGGACTTCCACTTAAAGAGATTAGGTGAGGGTATACAGGAAAATTAACTGGATAGAAATGTTCTGCTTAATTAAAATTTTCACAGTGATGTGCTAGAGCCAGCTCCCACTGATTTGCTAGAACTGATTGTTAACTTTTCAGGATTTTTGTGAGCTGGTTGTTAAAATAGCTATTAAAAATGTAAATATACATTTAACAAGTTACTTAAAAATGAATAAATACTCAAATTTATCATTTGTATTTTTTTACCTATGCTCTTGCAGTTACTTACATCTATTTTATCTGTATGGTATGCTACTTACTGTGTATATCTTCCAAACTCTACATTTATTGAAGTCACATTGGTAGTTTGAAATTGGCCATGGTGCAAGCATTTACATCATGGGAATTGTCATACTACAGATATATCAGGGCATTTCCCCCACAAAGCTAGTTGTTAAACATTTATCAGCACATCACTGATTTTAGATTTAGCGAACTCTCAATTGAAAAACCTCTCTACCTTTAGCCTTTAATAAAAACTTATCTAAAATGCATTAGGGCATTTTTCTACCTTAAATGTGTAGAGCATGTGGAATATTATTGTTCCAAGTGCTGAAGATCTTTGAAGATCATTACAATTTCTGTAATGTTCAGAATAGTCATCTTAAACATTAGCAAGATCACTTCTTTTTTTTTAAAAATATATTTTATTGATTTTTTACAGAGAGAAAGGAGAGGGATAGAGAGTTATAAACATCGATGAGAGAGAGTCATCGACCAGCTGCCTCTTGCACGCCCCCCACTGGGGATGTGTCCCCAACCAAGGTACGTGCCCTTGATCGGAATTGAACCTGGGACCCTCAGTCCGCAGGCTGACGCTCTATTTACTGAGCCAAACCGGCTTCGGCAAGATCACTTCTTAGAACATGTAATAAGAAGTATATTACTTCCAGGTAATTTTATATGAAAATATCAAGTTCTAAATTGTTTATATAAACATGTAATATTTCATTGCAGCTGCCACTGGTGACATGCCAACTTACCAGATTCGAGCGCCTACTACTGCTTTGCCACAGGGAGTAGTGATGGCTGCCTCCCCAGGAAGTTTGCACAGCCCCCAGCAACTTGCAGAAGAAGCCACACGAAAACGAGAGCTGAGACTAATGAAAAACAGGTAAGATGGTTCACCAGAAATCAGCAACCACTTACAGGAAATATAATTTGTTATTTTGTGCTTATTCAAAACTTACTTTTCCTAAGCTATTTCTCTCAAGTTCAGTACCAAGTGGCATTTTATGTGGACTTGTGCTCTGCATGATAGATTGTCTGCTAATCAGAGTTCCTAACCATGAACCTATTCAATCAGCAGGAGATTCAACCTTGTGTTAGAAAAGTAATGTCTGAAAGATACATTAATTTTTTTAATGATGATGGAAAGGCTTTATTTTATTTTAAAATATATATTTCTTTATTGATTTCAGAGAAGAAGGAAGAGGGAGAGAGAGATAGAAACATCAATGATGGGAGAGAATCATTGACCGGCTGCCTCCTGCACGCCTCCTACTGGGGATCAAACCCACAACCCAGGTATGTGCCCTTGGCCTGAATTGAACCTGAGACCTTTCAGTCCATAGGCCAACACTCTATCCACTGAGCCAAACTGGCTAGGGCTGGAAAGGCTTTATTACAAATAAAATTTTATTTTGTACTTAGTATTTATTTTGTGAAGTTAGGTGATAAGTATAATTTTCTAACTTCTTTATTAGTAAAATAAATTTGTATGTGTTAAGAATTTTCTTAAGTTTTTTTTTTAATTTATTTTTTTGTTAATCCTCACCCAAGGATATTTTCCCATTGATTTTTAGAGAGAGTGGAAGGGAGGGGGGAAGGCAGAGGGAGAGAAACATCAGTAAGAGAGACCCACTGATGTGAGAGACCCCCATCAATTGTTTGCCTCCAGTTCATGCCCTGACCTGGGCCAGGGATTGAGCCTGCAACTGAAGTACTTGCCCTTGACTGGATTCATACCCGGAACACTTCAGTCTGTGGGCCAAAGCTCTATCCACTGGGCCAAACTGGATAGGGCTCTTAAATTTTTTTACACGTTTCATTTGATCTATTTTGTAACTTTGTTTTTTCTTGATTGTACTGAAAGACATCTTTGATAAATTGTAGTCAAATGAAAATACAAAACAACAGAAAGAATTAAGATTACTCATAGCCTCCCCCCCCCCCCCACTTAGGGATAACTACTGATATTTTCCTATATAATAATCCCTTATAATAAAGAGATAATATGCAAATTGACCAACAGTCCAACACACAAGATGGCTGCTCCCATGTGGACACAAGATGGCCACCACAAGATGGCCAGCAGGGAAGGGCAGTTGGGAGGGACCAGGCCTGCAGGGGAGGGTAATTGGGGTGACCAGGTCTGTAAGGGAGAGCAGTTAGGGGTGACTAGGCTGGCAAGGGAGGGCCATTAGGAGTTACCATGCCAGCAGAAGAGGGCAGTTGGGGGCAACCAGGCTGGCAAGGGAACAATTAGGTATCTATCAGGCTGGCAGGGGAGAGATTAGGGCATGATCAGGCTGGCAGGCATAAGTGGGGCAATCAGGCAGGCTAGTGGTTGGGAGCTAGCAATCCTGGATTGTGAGAGGGATCCCAGATTGGAGAGGATGCAGGCTGGGCTGAGGGATACACATACTCTCCTCCCCCTCATGCACTTATTTCATGCACCAGTTCTCTAGTCTATAATAATAAAAGTGGAATATGCAAATCTACTGAACTGCTGAACAGTGGAATGACCGTTCGGACAACCTTCCAGATGAAGCCGGGACTGTGAGGGCTGAGGAAGCTGAAACTGCAAAGGCCCACTCTTGCATGAATTTTGTGCATTGGGCCTCTAGTAGTATATACATTTCCAGCCTGCTCTCTCTCATTTTCTCACTTGTTTTTGTACCCTATCACTGTAACTTTATTTTTTTTATTTTTTGTTAATCCTATCCCAAGGATATTTCTTTCATTGACTTTTAGATTTTTAGAGAGAGTGGAAGGGAAAGAAGGTAGGAGGGGAGAGAGAGAGAAAGAGAAAGAAACACTAATGTGAGAGAGACACATCAATTGGTTGCCTTCTGCATGTGCCAGGGCCAGGCCTGGGTTCAAACCTGCAAACCAGGCACGTTCCCCTGACCTGAATAGAACCTGAGACCCTTTAGTACATGGACTGACGCTCTAACCACTGAGCCACTGACCAGGGCTGTAGCTTTTTTTTTTTTTTTTTTTAAAGCAGTATATCATACAAATGCTATTTCCCAAAATTATTTTTTAAAATCTAGTTTGCATATCATTTCTTGGTTTAATTTTTATTATGGAGAAAGGTGCAAATTAATCTGATGTTCAAAATGAACAGAATAAGAATAGACTTTTCCCAGTACTCTTGTCTTGTTACCTTATTTCTAGGTTTTAAATAATGTCCTCATTAATTAAAGTAAGAAAACAAAACATTTCAGATGGACTTAATGTGTTTTCCTATGATTAGGACCACATAGGAGTAGTTAATTTACTAGATGTGAGCAACCTGGTTAATGTAGAAATTGTGGTTTCTGAGCCTCTCAAAAACAGAAACAACTGCTGAGTTCATCACTATCCTCTGTAACGGAACGTGAAGCAGCAGCAGCTATTTTCAGGTTACTAATATAGCCTTTTAAATGGCACAATTTGATATATTATAGGACTTCTTATGTTTGTTACAGTTCCTGAGTTTATTAGTTATCACAAATTATGAGATGGAATTTTCTACCCAGTGAAACTCAACAAATTACCAGAAATAGGCTCATTAGATACACACATCTTTGTAAAAAAATATTTTTTCATTGATTTCAGAGAGGAAGGGAGAGAGAGAGAGAAACATCAACGATGAGAGAGAATCATTGGTCAACTGCTTTCTGCACTCCTCCTACTGGGGATCGAGCCCTCAACCTGGGCATGTGCCCTTGACTGGAATTGAACCCGAGACCCTTGCTCTATTCACTGAGCCAAACCTAGGGCGACCTTTAGTTTTAGATTAACAAACTTTGTCAGAACTACAGAAACAAACTAGACAAAATATTAGGCAGAAGGTTCCTATAAAAGGTGTCCCACATCTACATACACATGCATGTCAGCTCTCCCTAAGGGGGAAAATAAAAATAAAATTTAAGAGTTAAAAAAAATGATTACTTAATAACTTTTGTAAGAGTTAAAAAAAAAAGATTACTTAATAACTTTTGGATAGCATTTGTATTTGGGCTCTAAATAACCCAAGGGAATGGAGGCTCACCCTGGTAGATGTTACCTGGATTGTCAGTCCAGAGGCGCATGCAGCCAGAACAAAGGATCCAAGTGCCATCGAGGATCCAGCTCCTCCTCCCTGCTCTGTCATCTTGACTGTGACATTCGTTCTTGTGATCACAACCTGACTGCCACACCTCCAGGCATCGCTTCAGTTAGAAAGAAGGGAGAAGAGCTGGAGCTGGAAACCGGGCTGCTTGAGTCTGACGCTTCTAAACACTCTTCCTGGAAGACCCTTCCCACAACGTTCACCCACATCTCATTGAGCAGAAATAGCTAATAGAATCTCTAGCTGCAAGGGATTCTGAGAAGGTTCTATTTTCGCTTTCCAAATCTCCATTTCAGAGCAAGACAAAGGAAAAACAGATAATAAATGGCTATTAGGTTGTTCAGTATCTGTTGAGTAAATATTATATGTAAGTTTTGAGTGCTTTATAACTACTGTTTCTGTAACTGTCACCTAACTATCACATGCAAATAGGGCTGGTTATTATTCTTACCTTGCAGTTGAGGAACTAGGAGAGTTTACATAAGTTGGTTACATAGTGCAAATTGGACAGAACCTGGATATGCAATCAGGCTTCATTCCAGAGCTTGTCCACTGCAACACCCGAGTCACCCCAAAAATATCTCCGTGTGAGTTTCAGATTTAACTTCACAGAAAGAATGTAGGTTTTACTCATTAACATGAAAGAGCTTTTATACATTTTTCTCTTTTTATTCTTTGGCTACCATTTATAATATAATGGATATTTAATTATATTTCTACCAATCTGGTGACAGTTTTTATATTTTTACAGCTGTATCAGTTTTTCTTGTTTACCATGTATTTTTTCCTCCATGCTGAAGATATATCCAGAAAAATGCAAGGCCTGAAAACGGAGCAAACTATTAATAGGAGAAACAGGTGTTTTCCATAGCTGAGAAATACTTGGGAATGTGCCATCTACTAGTGTGATTATTTAAGCTTTGTGCTTGTAACATTTGACTCTGGTAGCACACATGTGCACACAGGTGAAATACCAAGTATGGGTATTCACAGTAAATAGTACACCTTGGTAAACACAAATTTAAAAATTGATCAGCTCACAACACTGCTGTTAGATATTTACTTACTTATTATTTATTTATTTTAAATATGGAACTTCACGAATTCGCATGTCATCCTTGCTCAGGGGCCATGCTAATCTTCTCCGTATCATTCCAATTTTAGTATATGTGCTGCCAAAGCAAGCACCTGTTAGACATTTAAATTTCCATTTAATGATGAATTCTTTTAAAAAAGACTATCTTCCTTCCATATTTGTAACTTAATATAATTTTTTATTCATTAAACCCTTGATTTAATTAAATGTATTTTAGCTCCTGAATTGTGTTCACCAACTGGTAAATTTATGTGTGCTTGAATTTATTCTTAACTTTTTCCTGTGCATCATTTAGATTAAGTTAATCTGTATTTACCAGATTCAGTTCACTTGTATATTATTACTGTTTTATTAACCAACCAGTTGAGAAGTCTAAGAACTTTGCGGGTTCACAGGGTGAGTGCATTGTTTTTGGCTCAGAAATAAGGATGATTTTTTTTCCTGCAGTGCATTGAGATTTCAAGATCTTTTCTGCTGACTTTAGCTTCCCACAGAGAAAACAAATAGACAGTTATTAGAGTCAACTATCCTAAAAATACAGCAGAATTGGCCAAATCTGTTGTGTCTATCAATCCAAGTTCAGAAATGCAGCAATGGTAATTGACATTATAGTTATTGGTATTTTGACATTCAATACAACTTTTGATAAAATGTTGAATTATCTTGCAATGTAGGATTTTTTTTTATGTGAAGGTTACTCCAAAGGCATTTATTCTGAATTGAAAACTCCAAAATAAAATTATCAGGAGACATCCTATAAAGGAATTAAATGATGTAGTTGCCACCCCTCCCCACCCTAAAGAAAAGAAGAGAGAAAATATTAGCTGTTTTCTTAGTTTTGTTTTTTGAGGGTAGGGCCATGCATGAAAATGACGGTAACTCATCTATTTATTGTGTTTGTTGCATTGGCTGCTGGTCTATTCTTTCCTTTGGGCATGCCTATAGTACTTTAAAATTCAGTATGTCGGTTAGTAAATACAGGTGCTGGGCGAAGAGTCTTGCGGTGTGTTTTTGAGTTATTCAGTAGCTTCTTTTTCATGGTTTTAATTGTGGTGTCTCACATTACTGGATTTAAATTGTCTGAATTATTGAATATTTATTATGTACCATGCCTTCTTCCTTTTTTAATTTTCAGAAGCAAAGTTCATTTCATTTTGGTTTATGAAAATATGCATGACTTATAATTCATTTATTATTTTTATTCGTGTTGTTTCTCAGTCAATAAACTGTAGTCGTGATTGATTTGTTTCACTGAGATTTAGTCTTGAAGAATTAAAATCTCTCATATTGACTTTTAAGGTTTCTGAGGATTGATTTTTATAATCATTTTTGATCAAAAAAGTTAACTCATTGTGATCGAATGTGTGGCTTTTGTTGGATAAAAATGACTAAGAAAATTGAAAGGATCTGTAAATGTTTTTGCAGAAATTCCACTTTGGGATATGGTTCTATTGTTTCAGGTTACTGAAAACCATTCTGGTCACTGTTCTCATGGAATGTATACCCTAAGAAAACACCACTTACAATGAATGCTGGTCAAATGGACTGTGCTCTCAAGTTGTTCCTGTTGTCTTAGTCACCTTAAAAAATGGCATGTGCTTGAGTACATTTGTCATGTGGCGTTGTGCAGATTTTACCTAGGACTGACTGGCTATTGAGTTTGGGGGGTCAGAGTTCATTGAGCCTCTCTGAATTGTGCTGGGAGGTTGTTCCTTAGTCATTTGCCTTGTGTTGGTTCCAGGGAAGCTGCCCGGGAGTGTCGCAGGAAGAAGAAAGAATATGTCAAATGTCTTGAAAATCGTGTGGCTGTGCTTGAAAACCAAAACAAGACTCTCATTGAGGAACTCAAGGCCCTTAAAGATCTTTATTGCCATAAAGCAGAGTAACGGTCTTTGACTGGACTTGTTTACTGTGAACTCTAATCAAGGCAGGAGATGGAGCAATTCTAATTGCCATGTGGACATATGGAAGGGACATTTGTGACCCTTAAGAATCCGGTTTGGCTTAGTGTTTGAAATTTAATTAGAAACGTTGTTCCAAGATTTGGAGTGCAACCATGTCACATATAACAAGCTTACTTCAGCCTGTTTGTCAATAGCATGCATGCAAAAATTGTTTGTTTGCCCTTTCGCTTCTATTTTTTTCCAGGGAAGCTGCTAAAGAATGTCGACGTCGAAAGAAAGAATATGTAAAATGTCTGGAGAGTCGTGTTGCAGTGCTGGAAGTCCAGAACAAGAAGCTTATAGAGGAACTTGAAACCTTGAAAGACATTTGCTCTCCTAAAACAGATTAGTAGAAATATGTAACTATGAACTGAATACAACATGTACAGTTGCTTTTGAAGGCAATACAATATGTAGCCGACAAGAATTATGGCCTTTTTCCTTTGTATCATTCATCATATTCTCGAATTTCTAACATTCCTAAAATGCTTCATTGTATGTAGTTAACTTAGCTGTAACTTCAATTTTTTAAAAGAGTCAAACTACAAAAAATTGTATTTAACAAATTTTTAAAATGATATATTTGTAAGACTTGTTCTAATGCCACATATTTGCAGTTCCCAATTTCTGTGTCCTCAATAGTGTCCTATGCAATAAAAATTTCTGCAGGTCTTTTAAAAATCATTTTAGGAAAGGATGATCAAAGGTAATGCATCTGGCAATACAATAAAAATAAACCACAAAAAATACTTTGGAAAGAAACTAGTGACATGCCTTTATGATAATAAGAGCCTATAAATGAATTTATGGCATTTGCAGATTTTTATAATTAGTTGCTTTGTACGGGAAATATTGTGTTACGGTCCTTAAATGCCGTAGTTGGAGGACGTTCTTAATAGAACCATGTTGATTTCACATGTAGCGTTCGGTGGTCATTTAACTGTCTGAACGTTTCCTACAGTCTTTACTCTATTGTGTAATAGAAAAGATCTTGCAAAAGCTCCAGTGTCGATGTCATGTTACTTAGTGAAAGTTACAACAAATTGTTAATAACCTGGAATGGGGTAGAAGTTAGACTTAGAACTGTATTTGCAGACCTTCAGGGGTGCTCGGGCTGATTTCCACACCGGGTCTGATTTCTGCAAATGCTCTTTCTGCCGCCCCCCTGAAGGATAGCCCAGAGCTGCTACACAGCACAGCCACTGTTCGAGCTCAGCTTGTGTAGTGGAGTAGGCTTTTCGGCACAGGGTCTGGAAATCTGCTGACAGACTTCTATTCTGAGTTTTAAAGGTAACAACTATAGGGGTTTTAAAGTAAAAACAACCCAAGATTTTATTTTCCATTTCAAAACAGCTTGAAGTCTACATTAGATCAAATATTTTTATGTTAGCACATTTAGATGAAGTTCGTTATATCGAGACAGCAGAATTATTGCTGGTATCCACATTTCATTCTATGTTTATAATAAAAAGCTTCAAGGAATAAGCGCAAAGCCATAACCATGCCCTGTTCTTTGCCTATGTCTTCTCTCATTCACTCATAAGACCTTTGTTGAAGGCCTACTCTGTGGTAGACTCTGCTATACTATATTTTCTACTATAACTTCTGCCTTGTTGAGGATGCCGCCATCCCATCCCTAGTTTCCATGATAGAACTGGTCAATGCATGTGGGGAGGTTCAGCAGCGGGAGGTCATTTATAAAGCATCTAACTACTCCCCCATCATAATTCTGTCACTTATTTGTAACTCAGAAGGCAGGGCATACCAGCTGGAGCTTTCTTTAGAAACACCTATCCTTCCTTTACAGTCTGAGCTCTAAATTTATCTCAATTTTTGTCTCTTATAGAGAAGTTAGATGAGGAAAGAAGACAAGAAGAATAAGGAAAACCTCAAGTTTCAGGTGAAAGAAAATGGTGCTTTGTATTCAGTCAGTCATTCGTTCAGTAAGTCACTAAATCATGTGCGCCTAATGGCAGGCACAGAGAAGACTCAGGAGTCAGCCGACAAGCCGTAAAATGCTGTGTGTGAGAATTAGAGCAACGAGTAGGCAAGGATTTCAGAAGAATGTTTCTGTAGGAGGCAGATTTTGAACCAGACATGGATGTGATAGTGCTGGGGAGGAAGGTCCTCCAGACGAAATCCAGAGCTCACACTCCAAGGTGCTTAAATTTCGGACAGGGGGAAGGTCAAGCTAGTACCCACACAAGAATTAGTTTGGTATAAAAAAGAATGTGCTTCCCTCTAAAATAGTTATTTCAGAGGAAGAGGATTGCATCTGATTACTTGGGGCCAAAAATAAATGTCCCCTCATCTCCATAATGCTTTAAAAATAAAAACTTAGCCCTGGCCAGTGTTGCTACATGGTTAGAGCGTTGGACTGCGGACTGAAGGGTCACAGGTTTAATTTCTGGTCACGGGCACATATCTGGGTTGCAGGTTTGATCCTGCGTGTAAGAGGCAACCAATCTATGTCTCTCTCACATTGATGTTTCTCTCCCCTTCCCACCCTCCCTTCCGATATAAAAATCAAAGGGAAAAAAATATCCTCCAGTGAGGATTAAACAAAAAAATATAAATAAGTAAATAAAATATTATTATCTCACCAAATAAGTCCAGAGGTAGTAAGTCCTACGCTGATCAATATAGTGACTTAATGGCATCACAACCAGACCTTTCCCCCTGCTCTGTTTAGGCTGGGTCCCCTGACCTAATATTGCTGCCCCAGTTTCAGGGAGGAGACAGGCAGCATCTCTTCCTTTTGTCCTATTTGAAAAGCAAGGACAAAGGACAGAGGACCCTCTGAGTCCTTACTAGCTAGATTTTCATCATAACTAGTCACTGGTAAGGAGAATGGAATTAAAAGCACTGGATTTCCAGTGAAGATTCAACTCCTGGGGTTGGGACCATCCCAGGCTTCTGTGAGGCATGGCCATCAATATTGAATAAAATGGGTTCTGGAAGAAAGCTGTTGATGCAGCTGACAATGCTGCCATCCAGAGATGGTGAGGACATACTTGCTCGGAAGGTGGTAACAGCTTGAGATAACTAGGGCTTCAGCTGAGCTCTCAAAGGTGCATTGGAACTGAATTCTTGCTCATTCAGTTTGTCCGTGAAACCAAAGCTCTTGCTATGAAAATAGCTTGATTTTATAACTCTCAGCCTCCAATAGACACTGCCTACAAATGTGCTGAGCACAGCAAGAAGTAAATTGGAAGCTGCATGGATATCTACATCTTGACCACGTAGGTGCGTAGAATCCAGAGCTGAATTTGGAGGAAAAGGGGGGGTCATTCCAAAAGTTTCAGAACCAGGACTTTTGAATATAGAAATTACTGATTCTGGATCATGGGGTTACACCATCTTGTCATATTTAATTATGTAGTTCATCATGTTAAAACATGCGAAATGAAAGAAATGAACTTCTCTGTTGAAATGTGTTTTTGCACCACGCTTGCACGAAACAAGACATGCTCCATCCCTTTTCCGTTTTCTTGTTCCCAGTTCATGCTTCCTGTGTGCCTAAAGTACAACTTTAAATATATAGGGAGGACTTGTGAAACCAGCACTATGTTATTCTAGATTGCAATGAAAAGCAACTAAGCAATTTGGACATGTTTGAGACAAGAACTGTTGCCAGCCAGCTAGCCATGACATCATTTCATCATAGTAGACCAAAATTCTCAGAAATGTGCCTCTTCTTTTCTAAGGTCATCCTAAAGACACAGGCCTGATTCTGAATTACTTAAGCTTGGTGTATCTTAATCCTTATGCTTTATGTGTAACTTTTTTTCTATATAAATTCATTTTCTCATAAGTACATTTTTAACACTTTGTTCTTCAAAAACCCATTTTGCCATTTTGTGATAACTAACTTATAATGAGGTTTAAGATATTTGTTTCAGGACTATTCTCTTTACACACAAATAATTCCAGCAAGGATGGGAAGTGATGATTAAAAGGAGAAAACTTGCTGCTTTGTTATACTATATTGTACTTGCTCAAATAAAATACAACCTTTGTTATTTCCTTTTTTGTTTCTTTAATCCTCACCTGAGGATATATTTTTATTGATTTTAGAGAGAGGAAGGGAGAGGGGATGAGAGAGAGAAACATCGATCCATCTGGGTAACAAACCCACAACCTGGGTATGTGCCCTGACTGGGAATTGAATCCATGATCCTTGCATCCTGTGCCAATGCTCCAACCAACTGAGCCACACTGGCCAGGGCAAACTCTGTTATGTCTAAGCCGGTCAATTTTTACAAGGATGCAGAGTTTTTTTCCAGGTCTTTGTTTTCAAAATATCTTAAAAAACAGCTTTGAAGACTGGGCCAGGATGGGTTATTTGAACTAATACCCACTCACACTGCATTTGCCCTGTTCTTACAATTGGTGCCTTTATCTCCCTGTGCAGCAGATGAGAGTTAGAGATAAGGCCTATGCCAATCTACAATAGGAATTTCTTTGGTTCCCTTGTGCAGAAACTAGTCAAAATCTGAATAAACCTGAACCAAATAGATTTCCTCCTCTCTGTCCCCTCAGGGCACCCAGTTGTGGGCTGCATGGATGGACAGCACAGAAGGGAAGGCATAACTTGGTTTCTTTAAAAATGTTGAGATCTAAATTACATAAGATAATTTACCCATTTAAAGTTTGTAATTCAATGGTTTTATTATATTTAGAGTTGCTTAATCATCACCACAATCCAATTTTAGAAATTTTCATCACCCTTAAATAAACCCAATACCCACTAGCAGTCACTGCCTCTCACTCCCTCACTGTCCCAGGCCTTGAGAACTATTAATCTACTTCCAGTTTCTATAGTTCACAAAGAATTTTTTACAAATGGTGGTAAAACATACACATAACATACAATTTACCATTTTTTTATGGCTTGATACCTGGTGGGGGACATGTGGGAAGCGGCCGATCAATGATTCTTT